TAGTTAGATACTTGAATAGTTTCGCCCCTACACCTTCGAGTGTTTGTTTCTGGTTGTACTCCTTCGGGATTTTTCCCCTGAATGCCAAAGTGAAGTTTTGTTACTTCGTGTAAGCCTTGGTTATAAATTCAGGTTACGCTGCAACAGGTGCCTTCAGGGTAACCCCTGTAGTATTTCTGGGAATGACAAGCGCCTGAGAATTCAAACTCTTCAATAGACTGTTATTGTGTTACTGGAATGTTTCTCAGTGAGTCCTTCAGTCCGGACCTGTGTTCTCTGCGCGTTCTGTGAGTTGAGAGTGTTGTTCACCGCGTATGAGTGACTTCGATCCGAAGTAGGCAGTTCAAACCGAGTTTCCTACGCTAGCAGCAAGCTAGTGGAAGTGTTGTAAAAGCCGGAGGTGGGAGTCACTACCCGCAGCTTCGCTGAGTGTACTCTTGAGAGACCTTCCCCCTGAAATCTTGAGTCGAGGTCCTAACGGATCTCTGGGTTGTGTTTCTGAAGTTTCAGGTGTGTGTGTGTGTGTTACGCTGCACTGTGCGACCTCCGAGTGCGCTCCGAGTGAACACTTGCAGTATTTCTGGGAGTGACAGTCGCCTGAGAATTCAAACTCCTCAATAGTCTGTTAAAAGTGACACTTTGTACCCTGTGTGTTCCTCTGTCCCTGTGGGTTCGACCTTTCTACCACTATATTGCAGTTTTAGCCTTTAGTGGGTTATTACACGCATGCTTCCTGCGTCCTCAGCGACATCTCCTCTGGAGGCGTCTGCGCCGAAGGCGCATCGCCGAAGACACCTCAGCAAAGGAGATGTTGCCAAAGGCGCCGAAGGCATTCTCCCCAAATGGAACCGTTGGCGCCGAACAAAGCGCCGGACCTCGGTCTTGGCCCCTCCCAACTCCTGGATTCTCCGTGACCCGCGATCCTCCTTTTTCACTCTATTTTATGTACCGATTACTATTTACAGTTGCTGCTGCAGTACTTGTTTTCCAAAAAATGTTTTAATTCCGCACAAAAACAAAAAGTGGGTTACCACGCTCCTAACATAAAATCCAGTTGATAAAACCCATGATACATATTGATGATGAGAAATCAATACTCATTGTTTCTTAGTCATACTTATTGTCACCGTTAGATCCATAGAAGAACATGGGTGATGTGGCCGTTGTTGGTGTCCACTCGGGTAAATCGAAACTTGATGGCACCATCAAGTAGTTTACTCGTTTTTTTCCCTTGAAATTAGTCTACTCTTGCTCAAAATACTCAATACAAATGTGCAATTTCAGTTTAATATCTCGGTCTCAATATGAGGTTTTGTTTTTTGGGTTCAGCAACAAGTGGACTGCATCACTTCATGATAAAGCTTTAAACCAGGTAAAAGTGGTTCGGATTTAAGGAGAAAGTATTTTGCTTTCCCTTGTGATTTTTGAACAGATAAAAATATGGCTAAAAAATATGTAAGGCTGAAACACAATTGGTCCACTGTTGCTCATAGGAGAAAAGAAGCCCTCACTTCAAATGTGATGGATTATCATTGACTTACCTTAACCTCGTGGTGCTTCATCTGAACTTGCAGCAACCGAGGTTGACATTCAATGGTCTATTTCTTTTACCATGTTGTTCTGCAGTAGGAGTATATTATTTTATTTTATTGATTTGCTTTGTGTAGAAACATTGTCTCTTACGATGTGGATCGCACCAACGGGCAATAATTGCAAGCAATAAGTCATTCCTCAGTGAGTACCCACATGACGGGCAGGCAAAAGGGGCACTATGCACTCATCCAGGTTCAGCTGTACCTTCCTTTTCCAGCGGATGACACGTAGTCTTCTTTCGATCAGTTTGACCAGAGACCTATTGACCTACATTCATGCCATCTTTCTTGGACGGAAGCGGTACTGCACGCCGTAGATCGCTACTGACCCTTGCTCACCGGCGTTGGTCGCAGTGGTTCGAGATACGCTTGGCGTACCAACAGTTCGTGTGTAGGTTTAGTCCAGGAATTCTGTCAATGACAACAAAAAGGTGACCTGCGATCAATCATTCAACGTACTCGGCCTGTTCTGTACACCGACATTTTCGCACAGTCCTACGGTCCCACGCGAAACTCTTCTACGTCTACATTTTTGTATACGTATCCACCGAATACTCTCGAGTCAGATGAGTCACATGAGTAGATTTTTCATAGCTTTGAAAATACTCTGTCTCTTATGACATACATATCTGATAATACGGGAAAAATAATCTAAATTAAACATGACTTGATTTCAATATACTTCGCATTTGTACATATCTATTCATTCATGCTTCAATTTTTCTTTTCGACAAATTCGCTTGGGAAAAACACAGCAATATAGATACATTCCGTATTATACATGAAAAAGGTTTTGATAAAAAGTTTTTCTTATCAATTAGAACATAGCTCAAAAGGTAAGAAAAAATTTAACCTCGTGGGTTAGGGAATTTTTTAATTTTTTTTGATACCGTTGCTATGAAACACTCCAATAAAAATTATATTATTTTCACGATAATTTTCTTTATATAGTTCGAATAGTGTTGACATTTAGAATCGAGATTTTTTTGCGTATTACTCAATTCTAATTATATCATTTTGAATTGTAGAGCCGGTTGGATGAATTTACCAATTATTTGATGTTCAGGTTTATGACTTTTGAAACTTATTAACATAGAAGTTTTTGTGCATATGGTACGACCTTTTTCATAGATGTCTTGCAGATAAAACCAAAAAGTAGTAATGACATATTCCAGATCTGTCATGGTTTTTCACTGTTGTTCTCACAGCAATACCTTATGATGATATGAGACGATATCCAACGTCAAAACTAGATGAAGCCTGCATCGCAGTCCAGCTCGGAAGAAACCCTACAAAGCTTTCGCACTAGCTCGTTCGGACCTGCAAGTTTACATTCTCGATCGATGAGCTGCACTCAGATCGAAGGGTCGCACTTTTGCACATACATCGTGCACAACCTCCATTTCGTTCACTATGATCCTCAGCATACCGACAGTAGAGGTCCAAACCAAATAAGCAGTATTTGAGAGGGCAAATCCAAGTGGCAGCCTCTGCACGAGCCCTCAGCGACGAGGTATTCAAGTGCTGCAACACTCGCAACGAATCTGCCTTCGATGTTGGAAGACGATTAGAGGCCAATCACTGCTGTCATGAAGAGGCATGTGCGCACGATTTCTCATCGGAGCACCCAACAAGGACTAGAAAATGAAGGAGTCTCGTTGTCCTAGCATGAAAGCAATTGGGATTAGGACATCACTCTTATTGAATGTACTCATGGAAATGAAAAGTAGGTGGAGAAAACTCAACCTTTGTAAAATTTTAGATTTTTCCATATTTGTTTTTAGTTACAAAATCTTACCAAAAATTTATAGCTGTTTTTTAGATTAATTGCATTATGTATTATTAATATGATATTATCTATATAAAAAAAAATTTTGATGACAAAAGTTTTCGTTTGGTATCTTCATTATCACATATCCGGACACTTTTCGATATCATCTATGAAAATGTATTTCTGAAAAATTACAACTATAATCAAAATTTTCAATTTAAGAATTGTTAATCTTATAGAATGGTGTAAAGGGGTCACGGCTGCCAAAAGAGCTGATATTTTAATGGGTTGCAACCTTTTCCCGGTAGAATTCACGAGATAAGACGCAAAACAAATTATAATGTCTCAAATTTCACCTATCAAAAATTGTGATCATACGTATAAAGAGTAGCGCAATCTCCACCGCAGTCCACCATAAGTCTCCTCTAGCGGTACGATGTACACGGAGGGGTGTTGGTGAGACATATCCAGACTTCATCGGATAGAAATCCAAGTAGGGCTGTGATCTCCATCACCGATTTTGTCAACAAGAGTTTAGTCTAATCACGAACCCATTATTAATCAAGCACGGTGATCTGATCGATTTTCCTTTTCTATCAGTTTTTACCAGTGTGCACAAACTTTCTGCTCAGCTTCTTTCTGAGGCTATTGGACAAAATGTCGTTCGAATCTTCATAATCTTCCAGATACACCTCCCGATCCGAGAGAGAAGGGAACGGAAAGAGATTCTGATTATCCACCTGCCGACCCATGACTATGATCGCGGCGTGTAGATCGAATTCCTGGTCGGTGCAGATTTGGGGGAAGAATGAGCCTAGCCAAGGACCTAATAAATCACTGCTTGATTTATCAAGCTTCTATTTCTCTTCCCCTCACGTGAAACGCATGATTTATCTCCAATTGCTATTTTCGTGCCAGCTGAAATTCTTTCGCCATGGAACCTTCGATATTCTCTCGGTGGTTACAATGTTCGCAGTTCGCTTTTCTAATCTTCGGAGTGGACCCCGCGAAAACACTTTGGGCCCACCACAGGCAGGAAGAAGGATGAAATCCTCGCTCCACCCGGTGCCGGGTCTTACGAAACCCCCTCTGGCCGTCTACTGCCCGCACAAAGCCGCGAACGCTTTCAGAGCTCACTTCGCGAACAGTTGTCATCCGATTTGTGCCCATTTCAAATCTAATTTCAGCAAAAGTGATTGAGTTTCGGACACCAACACCAGCGGCATGAGAAACACAAAACTGCATTTCTTCTCTTGGCGGCACTGCCATGTTCAGTTTTCAAAGCTCGGTTGGATTTCTGCCATGTTCAATCTGAAACAATTTGCATGCATTATCATGATTGCTAAGCCAAATTTATGTGTCTCGACCACTATTAACAAAATGTAATCACTGCTTATCAATTATTAGAAATAGTATTGAGGATTTGTTTCTTGCGGAGGCACGATTTACTCCAGCATATACAGCAAGAAGGTTTTCCAAACAGAGTGAAACATATGCAGTACGTCATTCTAACGGGGCAGAGTACCGAATAATAAATGGAAGAAATATCTCTGACTTCCTGCCAAAGCGGTCCAATGAGTTATAATCGATCCTCAACATCTTATCCACCTCGACTTTGGATTAATATTTTTATGTTGCAGCTCCAGACCCGCGCGGGGCGGAAACCGTATCGGAGCATGAGTATATAAAGTCGTAGGGAGTTCAACTGAAATCAAGACGTCTCTCGAGGTGATCTCTCAGAAAGATCGCAGAGTGAGACATTACCTTTTTAAGAGTTCAATTTAGAGCTGAGAGTTCACAACAGATTCGGAGTCCAAGGTGAGTTTCTCGAAATCAAAGACTTGACATTCAACTCATTCTTCGAAACTAATGTTCAATTATTTGCAACAATGTCGCCTGTGTATCTTCGATTTCTTTGTTCTCTCATCTCGGTTTTCACAAGCATGGATTCGAGAAAATCGCACCATTCTGTCTTGTCCCGTCAAATCAGTTCCATGTACTAAAGTCGATTGTGCCTTTTGATGCTTCTTTCCACGTCTGCAGGCAGCAGCCAGAAGTTTAAAATGCTTCGTGTCCGAGCCCCATTTCGAGTTTCTGCACATGCTGTAGCTCCTTCCAACCCCTGCGTTACTCCCTCAGCATCCACCCGGTCCTCAGTATGTTCCAAATCTTCTTCATTGATGGGTACCGCGGTCCAGTCTGGACCTCACGAGAATTCCATGTCACAGCAGCTCCCGCAAGGAAATGGCAAAAGCCTTCATCCAGTGCGAGCGGGCCTCAGAGATCTCGTTCCAGATCAGATGAATCTCCTCCATCATAAGAAGGACCAGGTGAAAGTTGAAGGGGAGATGCTCATTTCGAACAGGACAGTCCTTGATTTCGACAACCCGGTAGCCAGTCTCGTAGATAAGAATGTGGACCTCCTCGGATTGGGAAAAATTCAGTTTCAGCTAGTCAGTGAGGATCTCGACAGTAAGTTTTCAATGCCCTGTCGAATTCAGTAGTGCATGTGAGTTCGTTCTCAACTTAGAGCTGACTTCTCGCCCAAGATCTACAGAGTCGAGGTCTTATGATGCATGCAAGCCACTGCAGGCTGATCAGACTTCAGACTGCTCTACAAGTTTCCAGCAGCTCAAGTTTTAGTAAGTGAGAAGAAGAGACTGTCGTATTGAGAGAGTTGTAAAGTGTACGTTTGTGATTAACGCTCTCAAACGTGGATTCAGATGATAGAGGTTCAGATTTAACGAAGAAGAAGAAAAATGCGAAATTCAAGAGCGTAGAATCCCTTACCACTTTTTGCCTGGGAATCAAACAGAACCAAGGAGCCTGCATATCTCGATATGGAATGAAGGTCACATTTACTATTTTTGAAATTTAATTCTGCTGGTTTATGTATGCGCAGAAAACGGGAAGCCCAAACTGACCAACGCTGCCGTGGTGAAAAACTACGCGTTCTCGGATATATCGCCGCTGGCTGGTCAGACAAAGTACAAAATCAACTTCCAAGTCGACCCTGATTTCGGGAAAATCGGAGCTGTTGTGGTCAGGAACAAACATCTGAACGAGTTTTTCCTCCACTCGTTGTGTCTTAAACTGGACGGCGGCGAAGTAGTCGACTTCTTCTGTAACTCTTGGGTCAATCCAGAGTCATATGAAATGCAGTTTAAAGGCATAAAAGGGATAAATTACACTCCTCTACCTGACCGCGTATTCTTTCTCAACAAGGTAAAGCCACCACATTTGATAAAGTTCGATTCGATTTAGAGGCGCTTGATAAGATCCCGACGACCTTCGACGAGCAATTCACTTAGAAGCCAGGATTAGAAGCGTATGAATACCAACAAGCCGCAGTATATATATGAGGCTATATATGGCTTACTGGTTCATGCCCTGATCTGAATATTTCGTACTCATTTATTCAATTGCTTACAGCCCATGACAAAAATCCGTCTTCCGTTCTGCAGGCATGTCTTCCTGAAGATACACCAGCAGGTCTGAAAGGTTACAGAGAAGAAGATTTGAAATACTTAAAGGGGACTGGTAAGGGAATGAGAGTTTTTTCTGACAGGATCTACGACTATGATGTGTACAATGATCTGGGTAGACCGGATTCCAGGAATCCCGTCATGCGACCTGTCCTGGGCGGCGACAATCTCCCCTACCCCCGTCGGTGCAGAACTGGGCGAGGATATAGTAGCACGAAAAATCCAGCAGTGCCCTCAGGTATTGTTTCAAGCTAATTCTGCTTGCCATGGCCCTCCACTTCCAGTTTATAAGTTAAATTCTATTGTACTGACAGTGCACACACTGCAAGATAGTCAGCGTGGCCTCCACAGAGAAGCTCAAACGAATATAAACAAGATTTGGCATTTCTGGAGCTGAGTTTTGCTGGATCTATGCTTGCAGATCCTCCGTCAGAGAAGGAGATGGGTTCAGACGGCATAATAGCACTCGGTCCTTTGGTAGGACTCTTGGATTTCTACGTTCCTTGCGATGAGTTTTTCGGTGGAGAGAAAACGAGTGCGTTTTTAGCAGTCGGACTGAAGTCTGTCGCCCATACTCTTGTTCCACTTATTAAAGGTCTCTTCACGGGAGACAGAACCGCCCACTTCGATAGTATACAAGACTTTAAAGACTTGTATGCGAAGGGTGTCAAGTTAAACACGAACCAAGAAGCTAAAGACGGTCCCCTCGTCTTCGTTGATTCGCTCTTCAACGCCGCTGGCGATGACAAACGCGTCCTCAAATTTCCCGTTCCTCAAGTATTCGCGAGTAAGCTGCTATCTAGGACAAGACCACTTCATTCCATTAAGCATTACGTCATGCCACTCTGACATCGAGATAGTTACATATAGATTGTTTCAAGGTCGTTCATGTGGACATCAGTCAGGTGTAATATAACATTTCTTTATATCTGTTACGTGCTATCTCTCTTACTTTAAAAATGCGAAACTTGGGATATAACTGATCATATCGCAGATAGCGACTTCGGTTGGAATGAGGATGAGGAGCTTGGTCGTCAAACCCTGGCCGGGATGAATCCAGTTGTCATCCAAGCTTTGACGGTAAGCTTCTACCATCATAACTAACACGTGTGTACATGTTGGCTTGTGTTCCTCGGTTTCCAAATGAATGTATAAGAAAATTGATTTGTGAACCTAGTTGTCTGAAATTTTTCCTCCATATTGATGTCTAGGTAGGTATTTCTGCTGTGCACTCACTTCGCATAAGTTGATTTGTGCAGCAATATCCTCCCAAAAGTACCATGAATCTCCCGGAGGACGTGTATGGTCCCAATTCCGTCTTGACAGACGAACAGATCTTGCCGTATTTGGAAGGACTCAGCGTGCACGAGGTACTGAAAATCACTTACAAACTTCTCATCGAATTTGGCTTCAAAGGTTTAGAGTAGGTCATGGTTTCTAGCAAGAGTATACTCTAGAGAAGGCTGCTTCTCGTTCAGTTCGCTGAATGCCACCTTTGTCTCAATAGACCTCTGTACCTCGTCAAGAACTGGATCAACAATCGAGCAAGAACTAACACAGCGTCGTACTTTCAGGCAATTGATGCCAAGAAGCTGTTCATCATTGATTATCATGATCCTTTTGCCGTTTACCTTCCCAAGATACTTAAAGGCAAGTGGGGAGATAAAAAGAGAGGCTACGCTCCAAGAGCGATATTTTTTTACAACAAGGAGGGAGCCATGATGCCCATCGCCATTGAGCTCTCCAAGCCTGAAGGAAGTACCTTCAAGCACACAGTGTACACCGCACCATTGAGAAAGGGAGACAGAAATCCCTACTGGGATTTAGCCAAAGCACACTTCAGTTCTATCGATTTTGGTTACCATGAGCTCATCAGCCATTGGTACTCGATCCCTTCCGTCGTTCTTAAATTTGGCAATAGACATCAGGCTTTTGATAGTACGAGGTTCGGTGATGAATTTCTGCTCCAATTAAACTCACTTTCTAGGTGAAGTTGCTCTGAAGAGAGATCAGTAGCAGCGAGATCTGATCGATATCTCTGTGTGTAACAGGTTGAGGACGCATGCAGTTATGGAGCCATTTGTCATTGCAACTCGAAGGCAATTGAGTACAATGCACCCAATCTATAGTCTTCTGATCCCTTGCTTCAAGAACACTATGATGATCAACGCCGCAGCACGAGTAGCTCTCATCAATGCTAATGGAATTATTGAGAATTTCTTTTTTCCTGGAGAATACTCTATGGAAATGTCAGCCGTCATGTATGGCCTCACCTGGACTTTCGAGAAGCAAGCTCTACCCAATGATCTGGTCTCAAGGTTCGTAAAACTTGCCCCTCATCGCTGAGTTCAGAAACGTCAACATTTCATTTTTGTGTAAATGATTGAACATAATCATCCCGTTCAAGATATATAACCCAGTATACTGAAAGATTCGTGATATAACTTTCTTAAGAATCTACAAAAAGAAGAATATAGAGAAGGTCTTCGATTCTTCGGATGGATGAGAAAAGATGGACGCGGACAAGGACGAGGGAAAGTACGGGACAAGGATAGAGATAGAAAACAATCATTAAAAATGAGAAATTATTATTAAAGGTTGGGGGACAAGAGCGCATTCAATTTTCTCAAAGATATACTCATGTCCTGCGCGCAGAGGTATGGCGGTGCCAGACGAAACAGAGAAAGCGGGTGTAAAGTTGGTCATAGACGACTATCCTTTTGCCGAGGACGCACTGGATCTATGGGCCGCTCTTCACGACTGGATCACCGAGTACGTGAACATTGCCTACAAATCAGACGAAGCAGTCCGAGGCGACAAGGAGCTGCAGGCTTGGTGGAACGAGATTGTCACAGTCGGCCACGCTGACATCAAGACAGGATGGCCTAAGGCAAACAGTAGAGCAAGCTTGGTCGACATCTGCTGCACCATCCACTGGATCGCCGGTCCTCACCACGCCGCCGTCAACTTTGGCCAGTACGCGTACGCCGGCTTCATGCCCAACAAGCCTTCCACATGCCTCCGCTGGATCCCCGAGGAGGGCACTGCCGAAGCTCAAGAGCTCGAGTCGGATCCATTCCTGTACCTGCTGAAAACTATGCCGACTGAGCTAATCGCTCTTCCTATCATGTTGACAGGTGAGGTACTAGCGCAGCATGGTACAGACGAGGAGTACCTCGGAGATCGTAACGACTTGTGGACTTCCGATCCACTCGTGCAGCAGGCGTTCAAGAAACATTCAGAGAGAATCGTAGCTCTCCAAAGTGAATTCGAGAAGAGGAACAGTGATTCAACGAAGAGGAACAGATCTGGGCCGGTGAAGGTCCCTTACACTCTTCTGTACCCCAAATCTGGCCCCGGTTTGACCGGTAAAGGGGTCCCCAACAGCATATCCATCTGATAGTAACCACATAATCTGAGGTTTATCAAACCCAGGAACGGTTATTATCAATCTTAATCTCAATCTCAATCTCAATCCCAACGTCGGGTCAATAGATGACAGCTTAAGATATACTTGAAAGTCGGTTAGCAGGCACTCGAAGTTTCACGTAGGAGGATCAGTCTCTAGGTTTGTAGAAGATCAGTACGCATCTGATGTGCATAGTCGCGTTGAGAAATCAAATATGAATGTATATGAATTTATCACGCAGGTCCACCACAGTTCCATATCATATCTTGGCTCTCTTCTCTCACATCACTAGACAAATGCCTCTGACATGTATCAAGCACACTCCCTTGAAGTATATTCCAACTTATAGAGTAGGACGGTAAGAGTGGTCTGCTATGATCACCTTCAGGAAGACAGTGGGATGGGCAGCGCTCGTAACGAAAGTGGTGGGTCTGATTCAAGCTCTGGTTCTCTCAGGAGTGCAAATATACAACGAAGTCTATTCCTAAATGTCGACATGCTTAGTTCGGTGACATGTCGTTCCGTCAGATGGCGTTGATTGATTTTATGTCAAATATCTGCTTAACAGTAGGTTTTGAGGCTTCCCCACGCCCTGAAGTTGTGCGTACTTTAATCACAGTAAAGAAGTGATATTACTGAAAGAAAAATATAAGCAGTTTAGTTTTAGACTGTGAACCCGAGGATCCTCAGATCAGAGAACTTTGCCGAACGGATCACGCAGAACACGTGACTTATACACGAAGATAGATACACGTGATACATGAACTCGCTCTATGACAGGCCGTCGACAGTATTCAGTGCATGAAAGCGTCGGATATCAGAATCTGGAAACGAGGAAATGTGTTTGAGTGCCAAATCATCACATGCTGTTGTCATCGATCTTCGGAAGCAAAAGCTAATGTCAAATGGAATGGGCGAGGAATCAGTCCAGTCAAGAATCTGATAAGCCACTCGCGTCATACCACGTCACTTGCCCTTGCCCTCACCTGAAGACTGAATCCTCGGTGACCATTTTCATGCGAAGGTCGTGCGGAATACGGAAAGGTAATTTTGATAAAATAAGGATTAGGAAAAGCCTCGAACCCTACGAAGCTTTTACTTCCAACTATATCTTGAAAACATCTTGAAGCTTGTGCTTGGAAAAAACTATGTGAAGATTATATCGATCCAAATGTACCACAATTTGTATGTTGGATTATTCGGGTATAACAAGAAGTATATAAATAATCTTGTTTATCATCACTATTTTGAACAAGATTACTAAAAAAATATGGTAAAGATGAAAAAGTTGTGATTTGTTTTATTATTTTATAAAAAAATCAAATTATTTTTTTATGGAATTTGAGTTGAAAGGGATTTGCATGCTCCTGTTTCATAAATACAATAAGATAATCACTTGTTAAAGACAAATATATTTTCCTATTAGCATTTTAATTTGACATCACTTGATAAATATGGATAGATATTCATGATTCTCACAATTTTGTATTAAAGGTGCTGAATAATATATCATCATCACGCAAGAGAAATTTTTAAATTAAGCTTTTTTCGCATAATAAGCTTGCAAATAATATCATGCTCAAAATGATTGTACAAAGAAACTGATACCTCGGACCACCTTTGTTTACTAGCAAAAACTTTAGGTATTTGCAATAGTTCGTTGACCCACTGTTAGGAACAATCCGCTTTCGAAAGATATTATTTGGAACCTTACGATGCTGCTTCAAACGATTTTGAAGTAAATCTAGAGTGATAGATACATTTTGATACTTTCTCGATTTTCAGAACTTTCGTTTTGAATTGTATTCCATTTATTGCAAAAAAAGATCCTCTTTGTAGAGGAGCCATAAAGTAGAAGAGTGTGTCAACTTTAAGACTAAATCATAAATAAAAGCTTAAATAAAGTTTTCTAACATATGATACACAACAAAGTAGATAGAGAGAATGTTTTTCCTCGCTTTATGTATAGTATCATGTTGTGTAATTTTTTCAGCAAGTTCTCAAATTTTTCGTTCACAGATTGACGACTCATTGTAAGATATGTGTAATCATAGTCTTCACACACCACTTAGTATGAGAATGTTCACCACAACACTTACAATAATAACTCATTACTTTTAAATCAATTATAAATCTGTCCTAATCTTAGTTGATTACAATGAATACCAAGGCTGCTTCTATGTGAGATATACAATCCCATGGCATATCATATTGCTAATGATGATATGAGTAGTTTTCTTGTGAACTCTAGTTGGATATCAAGTCACTTGAATATCATTTAAATTTTACATAATTGAGAATGAAGATTTCGGTGATTGTTTAAGCCAACATAGAATCTCATCCCTTAGGAGGAACTTATTAAAAAAATTCAAAATTTTGTATTCATGATCTCCGCAAGATCCACAAGCTTCCATGACTCTAGAAGCAAAATTGCAAGAAGTCCATACAGCAACAAAAAAAAATTCAAATTCGTTGAGGACCAATGTAAAAAGTGTTGAATTTGATCATCAAGATACATTATGATAAATGGTAAATGGTAAATAGATCAAGCCCGTGCGACCCAAAGTGTCAAAAGGCTAAAAAACACAATACAAAAAATCAAATTCCAAACCAGGAGAGAACCAAAAGAATCCCCTAACTAGTTTCCGGAGCACTAGAACAAAAAGTAAAAACATCCGTCATAAAACTAACTAAATCATAAATCTCAAGCTGAAGTAAAAATAAAGATTCTGAACAATAACCTTATGAGTCACCATAATCTCAATATATCTAGTACAAGTAATAAACACATGCTCTCCATCCTCAACTTTTCTTCCATCACATAGCCTACAAATATGTTCATTCCCATCAATATCCAACCAACGCCATTCCTCAATCCTAACACTATGAAATCCTATTCTATGCCGAGCAGTAATATGACGTAAAGATGTGGAGATGTCCGCAAGTAATAATCCTTGCTTACAATAAACAAGCATAGGATTCAGATGAAGTTGATTTAACTCCATTTAACTCCAATTTAATGACTCGTCTGCTCCAAATAATGTTGAGAAATTCTTCCTTGATACGCTCGCAAAAGATAATAGGTTGCAAATCACAATCTAGTTACGTCACATTCCATCTCAAAGACCAAGTCACCACATCTGCAAACCATACCTTAGGACGTGTAGCACACAAAGCTTCAAGAGGAAGTCAAAAAGCATCAAGAGAATCTCACTCTTTTGGCGTAAGTTATAGTCAAAAAGTGAGCTTCAGCCTCAAGAGTTAAAGAACCTTTTTCCGCAAGAAGAATAGCATATGAAGTTTGGATACTCACATCCAATTTTTATTGTAAAAATATCTTTTGCATCCTTTCCAAACGCTATCAACCTGTCTTCTTACAACTAGGATCCACACTTGTGTTTCATATAAGATAACGGGAAACACCAAGCTCTTGAGTAAGAATTTTCTAAAACTCCGAGACACTAGAGGAGCTCCTCTACATATTTTTAGCAATGAATATAGAGCTTTGAAATCAGCTTCAATACTCTTTTGCACACAAAGTGCCCAACTATAATCGTGTGAGAAATCAATGGCTAAATATTTGTAGCTTTTCACTTGTTTCAACTCTAATACTTTGTAAAAAATGTAAAACTTGGATGCAGTGACCACAACAATGATTTTTGACTTCTCCAAATTGATATCCATCTGATCTTGAGTACAAAATTTAGCCAAAGTGTCAAGGTGTTTTTGTAAACTAATGGCATCACATGCTAGTAATATGACATCATCTGCATACAAAAGAGATTTAATGACAAAGACTCCAAGTTTGACACCTCACTTTCACAATCCTCGAACCACCTTTCCATATCATCTATGAAACTCCAAAGAGAGTAAGAGAGAGAACAACCTTGAATGACTCCAATGATACTCAAAATCTCTTCGGTTTTGAGAAATGTTGATCTTGGTCCGAACGGAGTCGTATAATGTGACTACTGCTGCTAAAAAATCTGATGGTACTTCAATGTTTTGCAATCTTTTACATAAAATTTCACAAGACATTGAGTCAAAAGTTTTCTTGAAATCAATGAAGACACAAAACAAAGATTTTCCATTACCATTGGATTTCTCCAATAAAACATACAAACCAAGATACGGTCTAAAGTATTGAATGTAGGACAAAAAATAGCTTGGATGTAATAACCCACTAAAGGCTAAAACTGCAATATAGTGGTAGAAACATCGAACCCACAGGGACAGAGGAACACACAGGGTACAAAGTGTCACGTTTAACAGACTATTGAGGAGTTTGAATTCTCAGGCGACTGTCACTCCCAGAAATACTGCAAGTGTCCACTTGGAGCGCACTCGGAGGTCGCACAGTGCAGCGTAACACACACACACACACACACACACCTGAAACTACAGAAACACAACCCAGAGATCCGTTATGACCTTTACTCAAGATTTCAGGGGGAAGGTCTCTCAAGAGTACACTCAGCAAAGCTGCGGGTAGTGACTTCCAACTCCGGCTTTTACAACACTTCCACTAGCTTGCTGCTAGCGTAGGAAACCCGGTTTGGACTGCCTACTTCGGTTTGAAGTCACTCATACGCGGTGAACAACACTCTCAACTCACAAAACGCGCAGAGATTACAGATCCGCACTGAAGGACTCACTGAGAAACATTCCAGTAACACACCATAACAGTCTATTGAAGAGTTTGAATTCTTAGGCACTTGTCATTCCCAGAAATACTACAAGGGTTACCCTGAAGGCACCTGCTGCAGCGTAACCTGAATTTACAACCAAGGCTTACACGAAGTAGCAAAACTTCACTTTGGCATTCAGGGGAAAAATCCCGAAGGAGTACAATCAGGAACAAACACTCGAAGGTGTAGGGGCGAAACTATTCAAGTATCTAACTAGTCACTGGCTCTGAGCATCGGCAATCACCCGCAGGTGTAGATCCGAACTACTCAAGTCTCTAACCAATGTACTAGCTCTGAACATTCGGCCGAAGGCCTTCAGCTACACAATGCGGATCGCTAAGGTGTAGCTCCTCTTGCGTGGTGACAGAACTAAGGACACAAACACGCAGAGAAAATGAGTTCCTGATCTGCACTTCCCAAATTGGGAAAGAACCCAAGGCAAGACGCCTTGAACTATTTTATACCTTCTAAGTCCTAACTAGCACTACACTGCACTATGCCATGGTGCGAGCCGCAACAGATTCTACACCTGAGGAGTCGGCGGCTGCCTTCCCCTCTAACTTACAACCTAAAT